TACTAATGTTTGACTCGTCAATGTTGGCTCTTGTGGTGATCTGGGGATTTGGTGCGGTCAGTCAATCAGAGCTGGTCAATCAGAAGGCCATGACATCGGTCCAAATGGTATTATGAACATGTAGCAGGGGTGTGATTTGTTGCCAAAAAGTCAAATTTGTGTATTTGCACTCATTAACCTTTATGGCATTGGCGGTTATGAAGTGAAAAAGTTTTTTTTTTAATTTTATGCAAGCATGTTAACTTCATATTGATTGTAAAGCAACTTTTATTGGCAATAAGAGGATTCACTGAACATACTTCAGCTTGAATAACTATTAACTTGGAATCTTTTCAAAACAAGGATAATCAGAAAAAAATATACAGTTATGAGTAAATCTGGGCATCATACTCGTAACTGCCCCCTTTCCTAAAAATATAATAATATAGCGTCTTTGCAACTTCAATTTCGGATAAAAAATAAAATGTATGTTTAAGAAAGATTAAAATGGTTTAGTGACTAGAAATTGCAGCAGTTGTTCCCAGCAATTTCCTTATGACACAATCATTTGGCTTCAGCCAATCTCAACAAAAGCAATCGTGAAGATAACTCCCCCCCCCCCCCACACACACACACATAGAACCCCTCTTTCAAACGTATATGCATACATGTATGCAATTCTGACCCAGACTATTGCATGTTATATAATAAAGAAAAAAATATATTTGAAAAAAGCTTTAGAGAAGAATGTACGTGTCAAAATCGAGTGAAGTGTGCTCATTTATCTTACAGCGAAGTAGGTAAACTGAACCTAGACACGCCATCTCCCGGTGTCACGAAACTGAGGGTCCGTGTGACAGAAAGTCCGCTCTCCATATAGTTATAATGGTTGGGTTAGTCTGACCTAAGTGGATCAAAATCTAGGGTGAGGCTCACCTGTGCAAAATAATGGGAAACGGACTCTCTGCCACGGTGGACTTTTTGGTACATGACACCGGCGTCTTGTAGAGTGCAGTTACGCTGGTGATTGTAGGTGTACGTTTTGAAAACAAGTAATTCAGGTAAACTAATTTGCACTCGACGTGAGTCCCCGGAGAATTGGATCGATGGAATTAGACCCATAGTGTCGATGGGTACGAGGTCGTAATGAAAGGAAAAACTGAAATCGGTCAATGTATATATTATTTATAAAATTCTTATTAGGCTAGCCTATCATCCACATAGGGGTTTTATGACAAGGGACTGTACTTCTTTTGTACTCCTTTTGTTTGGGCGACTCGTAGGACAAGCCAGCATTATCATCAGGTGACTAACCGCAAAGTATGGTAAATTAGGACGCATCCATTTGCTTCAAAAATGCAAAGAGAATACGTTAAAATTTTACACTTTGAATTTTAACAACTTTCATGACAATTATTTTCACCATTATAGAACTTATTGCTTTACATATATTAAAACAGTAAAATAGTAAAGGCATACCATGTATGCCATTTTTACAGCCGAGATGATTTTTCTGGGCATTTCATCATTTTCCCTTTATCACCTGGGTCAAGTGTATTTCTTTCCCAAAAATGCTGAGAAAATCGCCATCTATGAAGCTATTAATTCCTCATTTTTACCGTTATCAGCTAAATTCAGATGTCTTTATCTCCATTACGAGTGGCAAACAATGTAAAAGCTCAGAACCAAACGGGTTTGGACATGAAATACGTTTGTGCTAAGGGGAAAATTATATGTCTGCTATGGAAAGATATGGCGGTCATTGTTTGACTTTAAAGAAGCAACTAAAGTGGGCAATGTCGGTCTGTGTTCAGTTCCCTCCCCCCCCCCCCCCCCCGCCCCCCTTCTATTTCATGCACTTGTAACAGCGTTATATTAGGAATCTTCAGCAAAATGCAACATACATGTATTTCACGGTCATGACAAAATTGTAGAGACTTACATGTAATTCTGTTCGTGCATTACTTTCAATATCTAAGACACCTAATTTTTGGCACATCCAAATTTTGTGTAACGTGCGTGCATGTATAAAGACACATTAAATAATTTTCTCATTAGTTTTACCTACATGTATCTCAAAAGAACTTTTTTAAAAGTTTAAAAGTCAAAAACCGTGTATGTGAAACTATATATTTAAACACGTAACTCTGTTTAAGCAACCTCAATTCAAATTTAAACATTAATTTGATTAATTTCTTGTAGCTTTTTTTTATTTATTTAGCTAAGTAATTAATTATTAGTAGTTATATGTAGTAATATTTACATGTACATATTCTTCTATAGAAATAAGGTTTATTAAAACTGTCGGAAGAAGGCGGTGTTTATCGTGAAATTAAGTGCACTCTCAAAACATATCTGGATGAATGATACAGGACCTGGAGATTTAATTAACTCCGTTCAAGTTATAATTCATACATCCCCAGAGGGCAAAAAAAAAAAAAAAACGAATATTGAAATCAGACGCCTCTGAAATCATTATGAACTCCACATCAGTCGTTCTGGCTCGTTGCGGTTTGCTCTACTTTTTTTCCCAAGGCTCTGTCTCAGGTGTAATAATGTCTTTCAGTTATAGAAATAGTACGCAAGCCAATAATACTGCATCTTTTTTAAACACGTTTGAAAAGTAAGAGTGGTTCTCTCGCTAAGAGCGTCTGGAGGGATTTTGCATCGTACATGTAAAACGGCGAGAATGTTGCGGTTACTCCGATTTGATTATTTCAATACAACTCGTCCGCTGCACAGATTTACTCAAATTGATGGTTGAGCAAAGGTAAACAGTGAAATAAGACCAATATCTAAATCTTCAAAGTGAAATAACGGATATGCACCGGAAAGAGGATCCTTTTACGGAAATTATCTTTTCCACGACAATATTCTAGCACAATTGACTTATACATTTAAGTCACGGCTGAATCGCATCAAATTTACCCAATTAAATTGCCAGGTGTTTTTAAAGCTTTTATTTTCACACTGTCGAGTTAATTGATTTTCATACATGCCCCAGACGTCGTAGTCCTCCCTCTACTAAAGTCCCTTCTAGCTGTTCCAAAATTGTTCGAAGAAAAGTAGCAGAAGTTTCAGACGCAATGCAAATCAGCTTCATACCGTAATTTCCAAGTCTGTCCGCTAATAGATCTGACCTAAAACAGACTCCCCAAATATATCTGACCACGATTTGTCCAATGTTAACGCTTGGTACGTGTATATTAGTAATGAGATATGTTTCTACGTGTATGAGATCTACACTTTTAAATGACTCTAAACATATTTTTAATATCCTCGGAGTACCAAAGGTTTTAATTCATCTTAGGCCTTTTACTAACAATCTTTATTTATCTTATTTTATTTAGTGAATTTAATAATTTATATTATTGTGCAACTATTTCAGTTGCACATAAACATTATTATTGTTAAAAATTGATGTTGACGGCGACATTTAGAGAATGGTACTTTGGACGACATAGACAAATCGGGACAACAATTATTTTAAGTTGAAATCAAGTGATATATTTATAAGGAAGTAAAGACAAATTATCTCTTCTTTCAAGAGATGCAAAGCCGTTGGTTTGATTGAATCACCCCCAATCACCGTTTACCATAATTTTCGAAGCTAATTTTTGTAATCTTCAAACATACCAGTAATAATGTGAAACATATTCCTATGAGTCCGCCTTTGTTCTGCTTGATTAAGGACATGCGCAGTGGGAGCAGCTCCGACGTAAGTGTGGCCCCAGGGACAGCGCCAGTTGCGAGGGGGTTGAACAAAAGTAGCCTGAATGTACACAGAATCAGGATATTCAATACCTTAGCGTCTGTGCGTTGACATGTATGCGTATGTTTTTTTTTTACTAGAAAAAAATGTTTCTTGGCGTCCACTGAGATTGTTTTTCAAATGAGCAGGAACCCTTAAACTAACATACATGGATCTCACAAGTATTGTGAAGTATTGGTAAAGCATCTTTTACAGTTGAAAAACGGGTAATAGATTGGGGTTTTATAACTAGGCAAAGACTAGTAACAAGTATGGGCCGAACCATGCACAAGACAGTGACCAGTATATATGTGTGCGTGCATTCAGTCTATAAAATTTAATCAAAAGGCATCTCACATAACTGAATATGGACTCGAATTGTTTCCTTTGGGATCCATCGAAGTATGCAGAAAAAGCAGGTATTAATTTCAATTACTCTTTATTGGTACGCGCCGTCGAGCGCGGAGCATAATTACCTCCTCAGCGACGAAAGTTCAGAAAACATCTAGTGCATTTTGACGTCGCAAAGGCTGGTAGACAGGGATAGCTTTCGATACCTGTTGTCAATTTATATTGAGAATTGGGGTTAGATGTGTGCCTTCCCAGCAATCACCGATCGTTTTATAACGTAACGATAACGTAACTGTAACGATTCTTTGGTTTTATAACGTTATGGTAACGTTATGATAACGTTCTGTGTTTTGCTGGGTTAGTAGTGATACTAACACCTAGTGTGTTTAGAAATGAAACGCCAACGGAACAATTCTATCAGTACAATGTTGATAAGAGATCAATTATATTTCAATTATATTTTGAAAAATTTCAATTTATATTTTAATTTTAACACACTGCATTCATTCCTTGAAAGGAGCTACCCGAATGTAAAGTTACTACATGTAGTAACTTTGCCCAACATTGGCTCCCATCTTGCAAGCTAAACATTATGACTTTGATATTGCACAGTTAGCTACAACTAAATGTTTGTTATTGACAGTACACAAGTCGTATGTCAGATAAAACTGATCTGGGTACAATTTGATTACTTATAAATATCGATATCCTAAGATTTTAAGAAAAATGTGGATTACTATTTGAATATGAGTACAAGTGGATGTGATGTTTAGGAAAGCCATATAAAAGATGATTCTGAAGTATCACAAATATTAATACTGTTACAGGTGAAGAATTTCCCTACACGCGACACAATTGTCCTACATGTACATGCATCTCATCTGCAAGATAATTCTTTGATTTCTACGCAGGTCAGGAAACTTAAGACATATGCCGACCACCTCCGTCGTCTCTCTTTACATTTTGACACCTTAAGGCGCATTGCCACTCAAGATGTGACGCCTTAAAGTGAGAATTTTTAGCAGTCTAGCAATTTTTTACCACAGGGAGCCTATGGCATCAGTCTGTTACCAGGTCCTTCGCCATGTTAGCTTTAACTTCAAAGTCTACTGCGGCTCCGCTGATGGGTTGCTTAGATATTATATACGTGTACTAAATTAATCTGTCCCAACTGAAATAGAAAGGCGCCTATCATTTCACTAATTTGCCAAAAGCAACAAATAAAGGAACCAATATCCGATATTAAAAACCACAAAACCAACGAAAAAGACGTATTTTGATGCCCTGTCCACCTTGTTGGCATCCCATGCCAGATGTTTGACCTTTGTGCTGATCACGTGGTTCTCAATCTGTACGTCCACGGAGCTGACGCTACCGTCAACCTGGTCCACTGAATCAATCGATCCAAGAAACTGAAAAAGGCATAGGAAATATTTTAAAGGTTTCGGCTCTCAAATTAACTTAAAAGGTATCTGTTTTTCGAAGACAAAGGATTCATAATTGGTTTGATATGTAGGTAATTTTCTTTTACTGTGTTGCCTTCGTTTTTGAATCCATGATATAGAAAGAGAGGTATTAGAAGTGCACCAAGATTGAAAAAGCTTATTTAATCCCAAAAATAGCATTCTCAAGGTTGCTTATTGGGGTAACTCATGCGTTCTAGTAACCTGTATGAAAATTACCAAGTAAAATCGAAAAAAAAAGCATTTAGAAAAAAGAGAAACAACGTCTGTATTACATACAGAAGTATTGGTATTCCTTTTACTTTCACCAATCAACTGTTCTGCTTCTTGCCGCCTTCTTTTTCGTTCCTTTTGCAGCAGAACATTAACAAACGCATACTCCAAAACGGAACCAAAGACAAACAGCAGGCACATCGCCAACCACACGTCAACTGCTTTGATATAAGACACCCTGGGGAGACGCTCCTGGAGGCTGACGCTCTGGGTAGTGATGGTTAGGACGGTGATTAAGCCAATGGACACTCGGGCTGGAACTGCCACGGGGTCGATGAAGAAATTGACGAAGGAGAGGATGACGACAACTATGGTTGGTGCGTAGATGTTCAAGAGGTAAAACCGAATGTCCCGTTTTAACCGAAATTCGGCGTATATGCAGGTGTAGGCGCCTGAAAGAAAAGAATGGACATGAACGAAAGGATCATCGATGTGGTTCGGGTTGTTGATATTACTATTTAACACTCGGTAAAGGTAAACATTCGTTAACAGTTCATATACTACTGGCATTCCTCTCGCATTTAATATCTAAAACGATGTCTTAAAATTAAAAAAAAAAA